TTTTTTACTGGTAATTTCAGTTTTAGTTTTAGTAGAGGTTTTTGCGGTGCTGGCAACTGCATAAGGTCGTGTGAGCACCAGGGGATTAGAGGGGTTACAAGAGAGGAACAGACATAAAAAAAGAAGAAGGGGAGATAAGGACGATACCAGAGCACCTGCCAACCACCCGCGATTAGAGGTGTTACAAGAGAATAACAAACATAAAAAAGAAAAAAGGGGAGATAAGGACGATACCAGAGCACCTGCCAACCACTCGCGATTAGAGGTGTTACAAGAGAATAACAAACATAAAAAAGAAAAAAGGGGAGATAAGGACGAGATAGATGTTTGATAGGAAAGAAGAAGCACACCACCCCAGAGCACCCGCCAACCACCCATAGGCATGCCGCAATATTAGGGAAAAAAGGTTGCTGTTAAATAGAGGGATTTATAATATAGGGAAAAGTGCATGCTATACAAGCTTTGGATGGATGCTGTTGGACGACGGAGGCTGCTCTTTTATCTGGGTTGCTGTTAAGTGGACACCGGTGTACTCTTGAGCAATTGAGAGATTGCAAAAAATGACAGCGTTGTTGAGAGAAGGAGCAATCATGTTCTTGACTGATAATTCTGATCTCTTATCAGCTCTCCGTCGGCTGTTTCGGGATTCATTTCCACAATGAGCTGTCAGTTGATAGGTGAGTTCAAGCATGAGGCGATTTGAAGTAGTAGGGGGGTGAAGGAAGAAGTTCGTACGACGCCTACTTGATCAGTGTTTGGTCGGAAATATCACGTGGGAATTGATTGGGACATCAGGCGATGACTGTGGAGCGTGACTGCGGTGGTCTGCTCACTGCTCACAGCTTACGTCCTGTTTTGTTTTGTCAGGTTTTTGTTGGTAGCTGATAGCGGCTAAGTGTCACTTGGGTCGTCGCTTGGGAGTCTCGGATTCTCTTCTGTTTGGAAATCACACTTTTTCTGTGGGTGGGTGGTGGGCAGGTGCTCTGGTGTGGTTTGCTTCTTCTTTCCTATCAAACATCTATCGTCATTATCTCACCCTTCTTCTCTTTTATGTTTGTCACTCTCTTGTAACACCTCT